AGCTTGTATCTAATCCTTAAAAGATTTTAGGGTTACCTCTTCAGAGGGGGCAATGTTGGAGGAGAGGGAGTGGGCATGGATTTGATCAAAACACCTTATACGCATGTATGAAATCCTCAATAAAGTTTTTGTAAATTTTTTTTTAATTATATGCTTATATTATGATTGTAGCAGTAGTTTATAATTAGGTACCTTCAAATCTATATCCTATAATACACACCCTCTTTCCTCCTATAGCTATTGAAATTGGAAGTTTTACTATATTTTTAGCATATAAAATTATGCTATCCTGCAATATTAAGCAGTATGCTAAATTTTATAAATAAAATTGTGTAGCTTGTGGAAAATAAATAAATTAGGTAACTTAAAAGGTCTGTAGACAGTAATATTGTATCAATGTTAATTTCCTGGTTTGGATCATGCTGTGGCTATTGCTGATGTTAACATCTGAGAAATTCAGATGAACCGTATATGAGAATTCTTTGTATTACTTTTGTGACATTATTTATAAGCCTGAAATTTCAACAGGAAGAGGTCTACAAGTAAAAATGAATTATAAAAAAGCAATGAGAACACCTGGGTTCAGATTTTCACCTTCCCCACTTTCTACCAATTTGGTTTTGGGCCTCTGAGCCCCAGGTTTGTCAGATCTGGATGGCGACAGCTAACCCAGCAAGCTGTGTTGAGGCTCGAGGTGGAGTATGAGAAGCACAGCCAGTGTCTGAAATGAATAAAGCACCCAGGACATAGTGGTGGTGGTTATTGCTAATGATATGCCAGACAAGGAAATAAAAAGACTTCCAATGCCTTCCCACTGCCACCAGCTGTTGGAAAAGCCTGTGGTGCCTGGGCTCCTCCCCACACTGCTCTCCTTCCAAGCCAGACAGCAGGTAATGCCAACTGCTCTTCCACAAGAATCTGAGTCTTTACCTGCCCCTTTCAGACAGGTTGAATGTGTATTTAAACATGCAGAGTCAGCTCTCTTTACAGGAACGTGGTAGCTCCAACGACTTTGTAGAAACTTATTTTCTGGTCTTTTACCAATATGACAATTATTTTCTCTCACAGAGTCCTGAACAAAGGTGTTAAATGGAATTGTTATATTAATGGGTTTCATGTAAATGTTGCAGTCTTAATTTGGAACTTGTAAATAGCACAAGATATGGTTTTACGGAAGGATTTAGAAAGAACTTTTAAAAAACCAGTTAATTTATCATGCAATATTGCTATAAGTGATAAAGCGTTTAGATCGTTTGTTCAAATAAGCTTGTCAAAACTTAGATTTCTATTGATTTTGCATGGCACGATTTTGCAAAAATAACAAGAACCTTTAAAAAACATGCCTTAGATCCCAGCATAGATGTGGGGAAGTGGGTAAGAAACTCCAGTGCTTACCTGAGGAACTATGGCTGTTGGGAAGGGGAGATTCACTCTTATTTAAGGGTGAGACTCTTGGTAGGTTGACCAAGCTCCAGTGGATGGACCCACACCAAAGGGTGTTTGGGGACACAAACCTGACTGTAGGCCTTAATATATACATATATCTTATTATATCTTATATGTATATATACATGCATGCATTCATATACTTGCAAACGTATATCTTACATGCATATAAATACATTTATGTATATATAAATTGGAGTACAGGAAATTTGGTGGAGAGTTAGTAAGCAGACACAAGAGGGGATCTAAATACGATCCAATTATTATATGAAAAAACATGTCTATCCTTTCTTTCTTTCCAGGGCTGGTGCTAGAACTCAGGTCTCAAGCACTCTATGTGAATGCTCGACCACTGTGCTACACCTCTGGTTGACCATGCTTTTCATCTTTAGAGTTTTGCACATTCTAGTACTTTCTCTGGAATAAACTTCTATTTTTTGCTTGGCCAATCCCTACTCATATTTTAGGTCTCTCGTAGATGATACTTTTCTGGGAACTCTTCCCCAGGCCTAGCACCTCTCATACCTCCTTCCTTCCCACACTTTGATCTCCATTCTCTCTTTATTACATTCCTAAACAAGTGCCTTTTCCTTCTAATTATTTTTGCCTCATAGCAGTCTCAGCTCAAAGCAAATGCCAGAAAAATATTTATCAAATGAATAATGAATGGGTAAATAGTAAAATTGATAGAGATGGATCAAGGCATGGATGGATAGACAGTTGAATGAATAGACAAATGGATGGGCAGGTGGATAGGTGATTATTTTGTGCTAATACCCGATTCCTATAGAAGATCATACAGGACCTGGTGTGTGTGTGTGTGTGTGTGTGTGTGTGTGTGTGTGTGTGTGGTGTGTGGTGTGCGTGTGTTGTGTGCATTGTGTGTTGTGTGTGTGTGTGTGTGTGTGTGTGTGTGTGTGTGTGTTTTACGGGAAACTTTCCCCATGTCTAAGGATTAAAACATAAAAAGAAAACCGAGGCACAGAAATGCAGTTACAAAGGTCAGATGTTTTCAATTTCTGAAGTTTGGAATGATGTATATGAATGAAATTTGCAACCTGTGCATTGAGAGTTGGTCACATGGATTTCTATAAATTGGAATTTAGCCAGGTACCAATCTTCTAATTTTATTATGTAAGCAAAAATAGTAAGTTAAAATATGTTCTAGCTGGGCATGGTGGCGCCTTTAATCTCAGCACTCAGGAGGCAGAGGCAGGTGGATCTCTGTGAGTTCAAGACCAGCCTGGTCTACATAGTGAGTTCCAGGACAGCTGGGGCTACAGGGAGAACCTGTCTCAAAAAAGACCGAAAAAAAATATGTTCTAGTCCATAATACATGCTCTAGAGGGGAGTAACAAGGGTCTAAAATCATTCATGGTTGAGAGGTTAGGAGTGAAGCTGTCACTCACTCCTTGAGCAGATAGTTATTGAATACCTACTATGTACTCAGCACTGCACTAACCCCTGGAGATACAATCTTGAGCAGAACAGACATGGCCTCTTCCCTACTGAGTTTATAGCTTAACATCCTAAGCACAGGCTAATTCACCAGCATCTGCTTAATCCTCTCACCACACCATGTGCTATGACTATTCCTTGCATTTTATGAAGAAGAATGAGACTCGGGTTAAGTAATTTGTTCCTGGCCAGTCACACAACTAACAAGTAAATGTGTCAGATCTGAATTCATGTCCATCCAGGTTTTATACCAAGAAGCACTGTTATCAACTGAAAATATATGTGTTTGTATGTGAGGCTATGCAAGCACAGGAGAATACCACGTCTCATGGAGACAGCTGAAGGAAGGGCTAGGGGGTAGTTTTGCTTGAGACTGGGGTGGTGAGAAGGGGACAGTAGAGGAGGAGGAGAGGTGGTTTCCAGGTCTGGAAAGAAGAAAGGGGTCTTGGGCTGGAGAGATGGTTCAGCAGTTAAGAGTACTTGCTGTTCTTACAGAGGACCCAGCACCCACATGGCAGTTCACAATTGTCTGTAGCTCCAGTTCCAGGGAATCTGGTGTACCCTTTTGATTTCCTTGGGTACCAAGCATGAACACAGTATATATACATACATGCAGTAAAGCATTCATACACAGAAAAAAATAAATCTGCAAATATAAGGATACATACTTGGACTATAAAAGAAATCATGTTGGCCTAGGGATGTGATAAAAGTAGTTTTTTTTCTAGGATCTATGACCTCTCCAGGCATATGTATTTGGCTATGTTTATAGTACCACATGAGATCCCACCCACTGAGCCTGCCACAAGTCCAATTAGACAGCTGCTGATTATCCCCAAGATAAAAGTGCCACTATTTCACCAATAGAGATAGTTTGCTGGTCCAGTCATTGTTTTGTTCGTTAGGCTTTACAGCTGGGTAGAACCATTGATTGGTTTTCTCCCTTGGCAGCTTGCACAGTATCCTCTGATACTACGGGAGCCAGTCTTCAGGGAGGAGGTTTCCAGGTCAGTTCCTGCTCCATATTTACAGACAAATGTACCTCTTACTAGTAATCAAAGGAACTTCTTTTTTTGCAACAGATAGAGAACAGGGTTCTACCACTAGTCAAAGACAGAGAATAAGTGTCTGTGATGTCCCCAGTCCTAAGTGGCACACCTACGATACAACCTCTATACCTAAAGTTTAGGGAATGTAGCAGAACAGGGAGAAGAGAAAGAATATTAATGTATCCCTCAGCTCTCACCAGCGAAGCTTCCTCATGTAACAGATGGTGATTAATGCAGAAACCCGTAACTGGCCAAAGTGTAGAGAATGAGAGACGGCAGTGTTTACCCTTGAATAGGACATCTATATCAAACTTCTACCACTCTAGGCTCAGGGACCTCTTGTGGAAGAGGGGGCAGAAAGACTCCAAGAGCCAGAGGTGGTGGTTGATCACAAGGAAACAGTTTTCCAGACAGCTGGGAAGTTACTCATATGAATTTATAACAATGGTGACGGCATGCACAAGTCCCATGCAAGTTGAAGCCAGACAAAAATCCAGCATAGAAATTGGGAAATGGGTAAGAAGCTCCAATCTTAGCTGAGGATCTATTGGCAACCGATCACTACTGGGAGAGGGAGAGTTGGTTTTCTTCAAGAGAGTGATGCTAGATAGGTTAATCAGGCTCCAGTGAATGGAATCACACCAAAGGATATTTGGTATAAACTTGGCTTGATAGGCCTTAACAGTTATGACAGAATACATAAAATCCAGTGGTGGGGCGGGAGGGGGCTATAAGAGAGGAACAGATAGGGGAAGGGGCCTTAATATATTATATGAAATTACAAAAATTCAATAAAAATTTTGAAAGAAAATCTTTTAAAAAGGGAGGGGATCTACACTGTTGTAAAATCTATCAGGTTGACCCGTGGAAGCAAAGGATGATAAGACTTAGAATCCTACAGACTTTCTACAGGAAAATCTGTGACTCCATAGGCCCCCAGTATAACCCTAACTCCAGATACCTTACCTCCCTGCCTCCGTGGGAACTCTGGCTTCTGTGAAACACTGTCCCAAATGACCCATACGGCTACTCTAAATGCACATTATTTCAACCCCGGCTTTCCTCTGCAAACTTTAAGGCATGCACTTACTGGTAGGGCATTTTCAACCAGGACTTCAGATACTTCCTTAGTCCAGTAGATGGAGGAGACACAGACAACCACCTGGCCTGGCCACTGCAGGACCCAGCTGTTACGAGGCACCTAGGAAGGGGCAGTGGAGTTTACTGTAGAATCAGTTCTTCATGATGGTTGAAACTCACTTTCCATATTCGCCTCACCCTGACAACAAAACCCAAATCCTCTCCCACCCTCGGTTGAGATCAGGTTTGACATCTCTGGAATTACTGATTTATGTCTTCTGTCCTAAACTTTATGAAAAAGAGAAAAAAAAACCCCAATAATCTCACCGACTTTGTGTTTTTTCATTACTTCACTGATTTTTAAAGATACAATCACGATCATGCTCAGACAATACTCAGAACTCTTTTTTAATCCCTACATAATATTGCAGTGCTGGGCACAGTTTTGTTACTCATATACTCCTCTCCTAACTTTCATTTCTTAAATAAAAGACAGATCAGAGCTTGATCCCCAGCACCACATAAGCCAGGCATGATGGTGCATGCCTATAATTCCAGCACGGGAGGTAGAGGCAGACGATCAGAAATTCAAGGTTCAAGGTCATCCTTGGCTGCATAGTGAGTTTGAGGCCAGCCTGGGACATATGAGATCCTGCTTCAAAAAACACTAACTACAACAACTCCTTCAAAGCAGGAGTGGGCAAATCGGGACCTATGGAACAAATCTGCCTGAGGGCATAAAGTTTTATTAGTGCACAGCCACACTCATCACTTACATATCATCTACCCTGCTTTGTGCTACAGGAGAGAGGTGAGGTCTAACTTCTCTGTCTTGGTGGTGGATTTGAGACAGGATCTCTCATGTAGTACTGGTAGGTCAGGAGCTGGCTAAGGTGAAGATGATCTTGAACTCCCTGTCCTGCCCTTCGGGTGACAGGCCACCTTAAAGGTGCCCAGGAATCAAACTCAGGTCCTTTGGTATGCTAGGCTGGCATCCACCAGGGAACTCCTGAGCCTCCCTGCTGGGATGGCAGGCCTGTGTGCAAATGCCCCAGTTCGAGAAGTGCTGGGGAGCCAGTCCTGCTCAAGCTTCTATTAGAGTGCAGCCAAGCTCATCATTCACATATGTCTATGCTGCTTCATGCTGGAGGGTAGGACTAATTAGCTCTAACAAGAGTGTGGCCCACAAACAGAAGTGTTTACCTGACTCTTTAAAGAGAAAGTGCTGAATCTTGCTGTATGCTGTGTATCAAGCCTTAGGCTTTGTATCACACTTGTTTCTCTTAAGGCTTCGGGGGTTAGAAGGATGCCATTCACAGGTAATACAAGTGACACCTACCTGGAAGGAGATCTAAAGCGACCTTGGGCTAACAGTTGATGTGACAGGAAGCAGAGGTCTGTAGCCATCAGTGGGAAGAAATTAACTCTCTTCTCTTATATCATCTGCTTCTACCAACAAACATTGTACCAGAAAGATGTTCACTGCCCCAGATCCACAGGACTGAGTCACAGAGAGGTGGGTTTCAGCAGTGGGCAGAAGGTCAAGTTGAACTGACCATCTAATCCACTCCCCAGAGCTTTTCAGTATGAACACCCTAGAACATGAAGCCTGGTTCTTATTTACCTGGACATAATTTTCAATCCCCTGTTCAATAACTTGCCGCATGCTGGCTAGCATCGTCTGCTCCACCTGCTGCAACCACTTTTCCACCATACCCTGTGGGGAAATACAGATAGTGAAAGGCAGCAGCCATCACAGCCAGACAGAGCGTATAGGAAGGAGCCCAGATCTCTTTCCCTGAGCAAGGCTGGAAGCAGGGCAAGTGACTGATGTGCTTCAAACGAATATTCTTTAACTGATTGCTTTATGTTTATTTACAGTATTCTAATAAGTATATGTCTATAGAAGCAATAGGAAATATTTAATACACATTTTCTTCATGTCATTTTACGAAACTGACAACTTCTGAAGAGGTAAATGAAATTCTTATTTCAATTAATAAAATAAATTGCTCATTTTTAATGACCAGTTCCGATTTACGCATTTTCAACGGCCCCCAAACAGGTGCATGTGCATATAATGAACACACACATATATGTACACACACATACACACATGAAAACACAATGAAACAAAACAAAACTGGATTCTTGAATCCCATCCCTAGGCTTTCTGATTTAATCAACTTGGGATCTGGATTTTGTTTGAAGCTCCACAGGCAGAATGTGAAGCATATGACATTGTTTCAGAATGTCATATAACTGTGGCTATTGGCTTCAAGCACCTGTAAGCTCCTTGATGTCTGGGCTGGTAGTGGGACAGACTTCCAGTTGGTACAGTTTTCAGTGTGTAGGACAGACAATTCACAAAGGAAGAAGGCCAAAGGTGCTTGCCTATTTTTACCCGAGGGTGCTGCTTGGTTCCACAGGGATGAAGTCACTTAAGTTTTACTCATTATCAGTGGGAACGTGGCTGGGCATGGTGGCACACGCTGTAGTCCCAGCACTCAGGAAGCTGAAGCAAGAGAACCTCAAGTGCAAGGCTAGCTTGTGCTGCACAGTAAGACCTGCCCCGCAACAAACAACGTCTACATGAAAAACCGAGTTAGATGGCATGAGAGTTCTCATCAATTTTATTTTTCCATCTGACTGGATCATTTTTAACTGGGCTCTGCCAGCATCATTGGATCACTTAGGATTTGATTTCTGATACTGCATCTGTATCGAGTTTATCTGAGATCTTTCCACAAGTTTTACATGTCCTGTGTCTTCCAGCATACATAATCCCTGTTTTAGAGATGGGTGAGCTGAGACCGCCCCCCTCAAACATGACATAACTTTCCTAAATCACTTGTTATTATGTTATGGAACCCAAGGGTTCCATACCCCAAACTAGGGTCTAAAGGTTTACCCAGTGTACTCCCTACCCCTCTCCAGTTTGTCCTGCCAAGGTGAAAAGACCCTCCCTCAAAACACACAGGGGACTTACGTTGGCTTTAGTTGGGTAGATTTTCTCTATGAATGGAACGTTTTCTTTTTCTGAGCTGATCATGCCAATGATTTCCAGACTGTCTGTAAACTCTAGCTTGGCAATTCCTTCAAAACACTTCTTCAAGTGTGGCTGTACTCGGAGGGGGTCCTTTGTCTCTGACAAGATCTCCAGCAGTTCGTCATTTGAGAGGAAGAAGAACCTATTTCAGAGCAAAAGAACATGGTAACTAGGACGTCTCCTAAGGACATCTATCTCCCAGCAGGTAGCTCACACCCAGGTGACTACTAGGCTGCCTCCCAAGGTCTCCTTGAAGGCCTGCTCCTCTCCACTCTTGTCCACCTGGTTCACAAAAGATGAAGATGGTTTTGACTTTGAGAGCAAGAGAAAGGATGAAGGCTTGCATGGACAAGCCCAGAGTGGTTGGGGAAAGGACATTAGTTGAGTGGAGCCTAGATAGCACTGTTCTCAACATTTGATTCTACTTTTTGTTTTTTTTTTTGTCTTTTTGAGATAGGATCTCTCTGTAGCCCCAGCTGTCCTGGAACTCACTATGTAGACCAGGCTGGCCTCTAACTCACAAGATCTGCCTGCTTCTACTTTTGAACTACCTGGGGTGCTTCTAAAAACTCTAATACCAACATTTCAATGCCCAGATATTACAGTGTATTTGTTCTCTGCTAAGGCCTGGGGAAATTTGCATTTTTTAAAATCCCAAGAGATTCTAATTATAGTCAACATTAAGAAGAGATTGATCTTTCCAGATAAGTCAGAAAATGTTACAGGCAGAAATTAAAAAGTGGGTAATGTACAATGCATACTTGCATGAAAATGACCTTATATAAGCATCTAGTGGGGAAGTGTTTGTAATGAACCTATTTACAGTCAGAAGCCTCTGCCATCTTTTAAAGTCAAGGTGGCAGACAGTTTCACCTCCTGCTCATATCCTAAAGGCAGCAAAACCAAATATTCAGAAAATGCTTAAGATACATTCTGTGAACACAAGTTTGAAAATTCTATATATAGGGGCCATAGGACTATTATGGTCTTACTGAATATGGTGGATTAGGAATTGGCCACAGTGTTTAGTGAAGACCATAGATGTGGCCCAGACTAAGGGGAGGAGTTGATTGCACATGTTTTCAACCTAGCCTGTTTCTGTGTCTTGCTTTGCCCTACAGAATCTAGTGAACAAAGGTGTGTGCAGGTTCTCAGCCTTAGGCACTAGGAGGCCTTGACATTGCCACTCTTGCTGCTACTAGGAACCCTGTGCTCATCGCAGGTAAACAAGCTCAATCTAACACTTCTGGATGATGGAAGAACTGTTGCTTAACTGTTCCTAGTGTCCCAGCCAACAGGAAGCCAACCATCAGGCAAGTGATTAAGATAGCTAACTACCAGTTGAACACAGTCACTTGAGTGAGTTACAGAGTACTATCAATATTTTTTATCATTATTTTAATTTTTAATAACTACATGATTAGAAGAAGCATTTCACTACAGCTTTAACATAATCAGTAACACACTCCAGAGCAAGAGTACATCTCTTTCACAAGCGGCTGCAAGTTTCTAGGTTCACAGTTGAATTAATACAGTTATACAATATTGAACTCAGTATAAACCCTGTAAGACATAAAATTGAATGAGTTTTTAACCTTTAAAAAAGATCTCCATTTCATTTTAGAATATATTGTTCCTTGCAGAAAGACTCATTGTTTTTGCTACTAACACTGAGATGTTTGTGCATGCATCTCTAATCTGTATGCATCTGATTATTACTAGTCATAATCGGTTGCACTTGGATCCTTGGCACCCGTGTATGTCTATAAAGTCATCGGGTAGATTTCAATGGTAATGTTCATCACCTCTACTAATTAACATGACATAAATTTCAATGATTCCTCCTCAAATATAATACATTTTTAAAAGTTTTTTGGTTTTGTGTGTGTATCACACAGAACATCTTATTCAACTATTCACTCAAGTCCCAGGTAGCACCCTCCCATAGCCTCCCTCCCCCCACTATAGCCCTTATACTCTGATATCCCTGCCACTGTCTGCTGTGGTGTTGGCACCCCCAACCATTCTCTACTACTTGCCCTTCTGCTAAACCTAGTCAGCCTATCTAGAGGCCTTTGTTTTAGTAACCTCAGCTGTTCCTCATCTAGCAGCAATCAGTTGTCAATATTCCTTTAGATAAGATTGGGGTCTGCTGTTCATTTTCCCAGTTCTATACAGGGTTACTATCTGGGAGCCCCTTTTGGCCACCTTGGCCAACAACTCAAAAAAAGGTATCTCCTATCTGGCATTGTTGCTTGTTATTTAGCCTTTAGCTATGCATATGGACTCTTAAGAAGTTATATTGGCCCCTTTAATCTTTGGTTATACTTTCCTTTTGGGTGTTTAAGGCCATACAGTTGGCCCAGGTAAACCAATTTATTATTACTCCTAAGGTCGTTTGAGGATCTGTCCTCACATGGGCTTGGGAGGAGCTCCTGGCTCCTTTCTTTTACCAGTTCCTCCTATGTGAAGATAAGTCAAAGGTCCTGCTCGACCATGGTTGGCTTCGCTTGGAAGCATGGAGAAAATGATCCCTCTCTGTTAACTCTCCTCTTTATAGACTGGACACTGGTTCAAGTCCATCTGGTGGGGTCTCCTTGGCCTCCT